AAATTATACATAATTCAAAATTAACTCATTTATTTATCGAGCTGGCTCAAGTTTAATTTTTTTTTTGATGAACTATAAGTTTAATGAACTAATTATCAAAATGAGTTTTAAATCATTTTTATTTTGGTTGGGCTTATTGCCACCCTTGAAAGACAATCAATCAAAATTTAAAAATATTTTTTTAATTTATTATTTAGTGAAAGATATTTTATCAAATATTTTAAAATAATAATCAATTATTTATAATTAAAATTAAATATAAAGAGATATATATTCAAATCATAATCATTTTTTCATCAATTTAAATTAATTTTTAGAATTATTAATTATAAATTTTTGATGACTATATATTTTATACATTACCATAAATTTTAAAGATCAAAAAACTTATACTTTAAATATTTTTAAAATATTGTTTCATATTTTATTTGTACCTACAAACATTTGTAAATAAATATATTTTTTTAATGTACATTACTGGATACAATTTATGCACTTCGATATACTCATATAATTAATTATAACTTTTCATATAAAATATGGTAAATAATACTCATTCAATTTGGTGTAAAAAAAAATTACTCATTCAATTACCGATTACCGATTATGTGCAAAGTACGTTTTAATAAACTAATTAATTACATTTAATTATAGTCATTGCATACATAAAAGTTAACCCCTATATTGCATTTAATTTAGAAAACATCCTCTTGACTATATTTATCTAGTTTTCAAAGATTTTTTCAATTTATCTTAAGATAATAAATACAAATAATTATCTTACACCATACTATATTTAAGACTTCTTTTGAGGAGAAAAATTTTAGGTGTCATTATTTCATGAACACGTTTTAAATATTTTTTTTATTTCTTATTTATTTTAATTTTTTATTATATTTAGTTCATATATTAAATTTAATAATTTATAAATAAATTATCAATAAAATTTATATATTTAAAAAATTATTTATATAAATTTTAATTTAATAATATTTATATATTAAAATATAATATTTTAATAGTCTTTTTTTTATCATAACCTAATAGGCTAATACTCAAATTCAAGATCTTAAAAGACGAACTATAACATCAATTAAATTAATGAACGCTAATGAATGTTAGTTAATAAAATATAGTATTTAATTGTATATATAATTTATTATAAATTTTTATTCTTATATAATATACCTTTACAAGCTAAAATATTAATTAAATATTTAAATAAAAGATTTTAATTTACCTCTGAAAATCAATCACAATGAAAAATAATAATTTTATTTTTTTAATTGGTTACCTAGTCCAAGATCTTTTATTTTTAAATTATTTTAATTAAACATATATTTGTTAATATTTTCGTGGTCAATTTTTTTTAATAACGTGACACATTGTTTTTGAGTTTTAAATTAAAAATTAGGAGACAGACCATATAACATCATCTACTCTACGAACTAACATAGACATGTAAAATAAAGATGGGAAAAAAGTAAAAAAAAAAAAAAAAACAAACAAACAAACAAACCTTACTAAATAAATATGATTTGTAAATCTCATTGAATAGATATATCACATAATAACACATAACCAAAACAAGAACTAAAACAAATATCTAATAAAGTGATTACACAAAGAAATTAATATGAAGTCATAAATATAAGAAACCAACAAAATTGAAGTCTTAACTAAAGATGTCTAAGTTTCATAATTCACATGATGATCTTCACCTACAACGCATACATAAGAATACCAACAAAGAAAATGAGAGTAAAAAATATCTTACTCGATCTGACTATCGAGGTAAAATATGGCTCAATAGCTAATTACAAACAACACATAACATATATAACTCATAATAAACACAATATAAACAATCACAGAATCACATCTCAATACATAAATTGCTCATGAATGCATGCAATGCAATGACACAGAATTTGTTGTATGATATGAATATGACGTTAGTAAAACATTTCAACCATGTACAATTGTCTGAAAGCACACATAGAATAGCTTAAGGGAACATGTCATTTCAAAATATTACAATTGATATACACTAGAAAGAGATATACCAAGACACATCAAAATAGTGATGTCATACAAGTTACACACCATGCACACAAACCAGCAGAAGTGGGGTTCCCAAATCTGACTATCCCCGAGGTCATAAAATTAGCAAGCTTTTACACAAGATCAGCATATTCTATATTATACCCATCACAAAAACATTTTATGTTTTTAATCACAATATCACAAGTACATTACACACATTACTCATACCACTACTAGGTCAACATGCCTGGACTTAATCTCTTGCTAAGCCTTAGCTTAGACTTCACGTTGCATGATCATCACATGATCCATACACAAACACAACATGTTATACCAAACAATAGTAACATATTCATAGTTCAAACACTCACACCTCAAAATGAGACTATTAACTCCCTCTTTACCTTGATGAAAAAAATGCAAGGCTTCAAGTTACTCATTTTCTAGATCTTCTGTCAGTTTTTTTTCAAAGTATAAGACATAACATGAAAATAAGAAGTTTACGCTTAAAATTCTAACTTATAAAAACAATTCTCCCTTCCTTATTTTCTTTTAAATGAAATATAATTAATAACCTATAGCATAAAACATATTTTTTGATAAATAAATTAATTAATTAAAACATATATAATTAAATATAAAAAACTTAATTATTTTTCAAAAAAAAACTCTCTTTATTAATTAAAAAATCATAATTATTAAAAATATCTAAAATATTTTATTTTTTTAATTAATTAAAACATCTTTTTAATTATTTTAACAAATTTAAACTGTTACACATAATGCAATTAATGGTTAAAATTAAAAACAAGGAGACAATGTGGGGGGAAAAACTTCCAATACACTCTTCAGCCAAATGGATGCACAAATTTTTATATTATTATAAATATGAATTTTAAGATAAACTACATCATAAGTACATTACACTACAATTGATAGTCTTTGGATTAATTTTTTAAAACTCATATTGTTCCTTAAGAAAATAACAATAATTTATTATCTCTTGGCTCAATACATGGCATATTCTTCGTATCGTTACCTGTTTCCATAATTTCCGAGTGCATATTGTTAATTGCCTTCAAGTACGTGTTTCTCACCTATAATTATTTTCATGTAATGTTGGGAAAGTTCTCAAAAAAAAAATTTTGGTAAAGGAGAAAGTTCTCAAATTAAAGTTGGATAATGAACTATTTGCATTAAGGGTGTATGTCAAGATATATGTTATTTTTATGGCAATATCTTAGCTTTATTTTTTTATGAGTTGGATATATAGACTAAAATAGACCCAAAATGTTCAAAACATTATATATATATATATATAAAATAAATCTATTTATTTTTAGAATTATTTTAGTAGAATTATTTTACTTAATAACTCTTAGTATATTGAATTTTAATAATTCAGTTGTTGAATTAAAATTTTATAATCTATATTATAACTCAAATTTGAATCTATGTAATGAAATATCAAATAATTTTTAAATATTCTAAAATTTTATAAATTTAATTTATTTATTAAGAATTTTTAATTCAACGTAGATAATGAATTATTAAATTAAGTAATTCTAACAATATTTATCTTTAGAATAAGTGAATCCCTTCCATTATATGTGTATGTGGGAAATTTCAATCTTTGGTTAAGAAACATAATAAGTGTCGAACTACTTGAATTAAAGATAATAATAGATCTCTTTGCTTTAATTAAATTGGTAATTTATGTTTAAAAATATTATATTTTACACCCTCTAATTTTATATATTGAACTCTCATATTATTTTCAAAATTTGTTTTAATCTTTATTTATATGATGATGATTATTATTATTTTTTATTTTTTTTTTAAGTTACACCTACTAACCTAGGGTTTTAAATCTGCCCGTTAACATGTTAACGACTTTTAGTTTTGCTAAAAACATTTTTGTTTATTATTCATACAATTTATTTTTCTTTATTTATTTCTTGAATAACATTCTTAAAATTAATGAGCCATACATTTAAAAATATGCCTTCAAAAAATTCACATTTTTTATATCAACGTATTGCAATGTTAAAGATGAGATGAAAAAATTAAGATTTAAAAAATATAAAGTTAAGAGTAAAAAAATAGAATTAAAAATAATAATAATAATTAGTCATGTGTGTCTTGATCGTCAGAGGAAAAAATTCAACAAAAAAGGAAAAAGAATCATAGAAAGGGAAGAAAAAAAAATGAGTGGAAGACAATAAACTGAATGAAGATAATTTTGAAATAAATTTTATTAAAAATAAAAAATTAAAAGAGCATTGAATAATTTAAAAAAAAAAAATAGAGAAGAAATGGATATTTATTATAAAAAAAAAATTGCCTATATGTATTTTTTTTTTCCACATATTTGAGTTTTATCTCATTTTGTAGGAAGATAGGGCCTGTCTTTCAAAATCAATGATGTATATTATGTTATTTTGATTTTAATTATTTGTGTGAATGTTTTGGTTATATTTTGATCGAGGGCCAACAGATATATTTTAAAAAGCACTATATGTACAATTTTTCATATGTTAATTTATACTGTTTTTATTATTTAACTGCATATGATTGTTTGTTTTATTTATAAGTATTCACTTTTAGTTATTTTATAATTTTTAAAATATTTATTTTATCATTTTCATTCTTAAACTTCGCATATGTATGAATTAACGTTTTCAATATTAGAATATACAGTGGCTTTTTTAGCCATTTGGTGTATTTTTAAAATCGGTAACTCTAAAAAAAATAATCAAATTGAGTCTTTCTGTGTGTAAACATGACTTTAAAAAAAAAATACATATATATATAAGAAAAAAAATGAAAATAAAACGGGCCTATGTCGAAGCTTTGAAGGGCCTGTATTGGACCCATTTCTGGCCCAAACCCAAAGCATGAATAAAATAAATAGTAATAATGAAACAAAAAGTAATAATAAATTAATAATCAGAAATCATCCACCGATACATTTTTTTCAGCGTTGGGTTGAGATAGGAGGGAGGACCGGACATAGTATCGGAATAACCAAAACAAAACAAAAGGATGATGTTGTTCGGCAAACACGTAAGTCGACGCCAAATTACAGGTTGGGCCTCTGGGTAAGTACCTGTAACCTGATTCAATTCAATTCTAAGGGCTTCCAATTTCGTTGAAGTGTTCCTTATTGTTATTAACGATTAACCCTCGGCAAACTCAACAGGTTTCTGTTCTTTGCGTCGTCAGCGTACGATGTGCATTATGTGAATACATACATCAAGAACAACGGAAAACCCCCTTGCCGGGACCAACTCCAAGCCATTCATGACTACCTCAATTCTCGAAAGGATAAGTAGTTATGTTATGATAGGATAGGAAGTGTTCCTTATTGTTTTTTTTTTTTTTGTTTACCACGTTAAGTTAGCAGAAAACGTGGGCTGCAGTTTCTTTTTGAGAAGGCTATTTATTAGCCAAACACTTGCTGAATAAAATAATCATCTCCCAGAATTGTTTTGAGTTCTTCTCTTTAAACTTTTGTTCTTAACAGTCGCTTCCCTTAAAATCCACACCCTGTATTATGCCACGTCATCCTATCACCAATTCCCAATTCTCAATTCTCCTTCTCCCCAACCTTTTCTTTTCCTATATCTTTCTATATGTATGCTAAACCATCCATCAATAAATTGTAGTAAAAATTCATGGACATCAATTGTGTGTTTTCACATGCATGTCAAAATTATAAATTTTCCGTAATTTTTGTATACATAGAGTGAGATATGCTAGTATGCATATAATACTAGGTTCACTTGTTGCATAGATGGACTTTTTTATTTTAATATACCTTTTTTTTATTATTTATTTAAATAACCTAAAGTAAAATATATTTATATAAATATACCATTTAGTTTTTTAGGTGAGAAATTGGTTACTGGATAACCGATTTCTCAAAGGGATTTTTCCAAATTTTTGAAAAATCCCTTTAACCGATTTCTCAAAGGCCCTTTTTTTTTGTTTTCTGTTTTCTTTTTTTTTTTTTTTTTTTTTTTTTCTGAAATCTTCTAATTTTTCTATTTTAATTTATTTGAATAATTTTTTTCTGATGCGTTTAGATATTCTCAAGTTCTTTTTACAATATAAGAAATTCCCATTTTTATTAAAAATTATTTACTAAATATCTTTCAAAAAGTAAAAAATGTAACGACCCGGCTGGTCACAACATACTGCACAACACAACAGCACCACACAGAAAGAACAAGTATATATATATATAGACATCCATAATATATATACACAAGGTCCAAATCTATGTCTACAACAAAGTATACAAATACAACTCAAATTAGCCAAGTTAGTGGCCAAAACATCAAAATGACAACAAAAATAAAACTCCATCTGCCAGCTGCAGACCTGCCTCACTCACCAACCTAACCCTGCTCTGCTCCCATACAACGTATGATCATCACAGTCCAAACACATGGAAACAACAAAGGGTAAGCTAGTAAAAAGAATTCAACATACATACATATATATATATATATATATATATATCATACATGAATGGTAAACAACTACAACTATCAGCACATTATCAACATACAACTCATCAGCTATACAACATAAACAACAATAAAACATACAATGCGTCGTCACGCATATCAGCTCGGAGATCTCCTACAACAGCTCAGCCTTACGGCCTACAACAGCTCAGCCTTACGGCCTACAACAACTCAGCCTTATGGCCCACAACAGCTCAGCCTTACGGCCTACAATAGCTCAGCCTTACAGCCTACAACAATTTATATCAACATACAACACAACACAACTTACAACAATAACAACTTACAGCACGACTAAACAACTTACAACACAACATTACTGTCTTACAGCACAGCTAAACAACTTATAGCACAACAATATTATAATTCAGCATGAATACATTCATCAATAACAGCTCAGCTCAGCATAGAACAACATATAAGGAAACAACACATACGCGTCCGGCGCACTCACGATCGCGCCCGGCGTGGCACAACCAGAGAGTACTAGGGAACCAGCGCGCCCGGCGCAATTCCTATTGCGCTCGGCGTGAGGGGAGGCAGAGACCTCACAAGGTCTCATAAGCCCGGCGTGCTCATCTCACGCTCGGCGCAAGAAAGCAGAGACCTCCCCAAGGTCTCACGCCCGGCGCAATATAAATTGCGCTCGGCGCATTTTAAAAAAAATTATAATCAAATTTTAAATAATTAATTTAGTTATTATTTTAAATTTAGATTATAAAAATGTATTTAAAATTAAATTTAAAGAATACAATTAAATAAAATTAATTTTAAATAGAATATTTAAAAAAAATATTATGATAAATGACAGATAAAAATAAATTGAGATGAATAAGTTGAAATAAAAACAAAATACAGTAAAATACATTTTTGAAAGGAACAAACTTTCCAACCCCAAGGAACATGTAATGCATACAACAGTAAAATAAGAACACATAAATCATACACTCCACGATTAAAGGGCAAACTTTTAATACGAAACAAAACTCATATTGGCAAAAGAATTTTTAAAAAAAATGGAGAAAAAGAAAGAGGGTAAATAATAATAAATAGAAAAAATATAAAGTAAGAATAAGAAGAAGACTGCAATAGTAAGAGTTGTAAAACACACAATGATTAGAGGAGTAAAAGTAGAAGACAAGATGAAGAATAAAAAAAATGAAAAAAAAAAGAAGACAAAACCAAGAAGAAGAAAAAATTTGAAAAGAAGACAAAAGAATGGAGAAGAAGCCATGGAAAGCCATGAAAACAAAAAATCCATACCTCGTAAGCCTTCAAGTGTGAAAAGTTGAAGGGTATTACCGAAAATTTTAAAAAACAAATAAATAAACATTATTTTAACAGTGTAGTTATTGCTATGTAAAAAGTAGTGTAATCACTCCTATAGAAAGAGACTACAAATCATACCAAATTCGGAAAAAGATTAAAAATAAAAAAGGTCGTCTCAAATCATCTAGAATACGTGGATATGGTTGAACTAGGACAACCAAGAAGGTGTTCTCTCTGCAAGAATGTAGGTCACTCAAAAAAGAACTATATAAAAAGTAGTGTAATCACTCCTATAGAAAGAGGCTACATTTTAATCTCCTATAGTGTAATCACTCTTATAGTTAATAATTATTTTATTATTTATTTTTATTCTAAAAATTTAACTAAATTATTTTATTTACAATTAATAAAAAAATTTAAAATAACTTAAAATTTAAAACTGAAAAACTAAGAGAATAAAATTACAAATCTGAAAAATAAAAATAAAAATAAAAATATAAACAAAACAAAAACCAAAAAATGAAAAAATAAAATTAAAAAATAAAAATAAAAATAAAAAAAAGGCCTTTGAGAAATCGGTTACTGGATAACCGATTTCTCAAAGGAATTTTTTTAAAATTTTGGAAAAATTCCTTTGAGAAATCGGTTACCCAGTAACCGATTTCTCACCTAAAACACTAAATAGTATATTTAGATAAATATATTTGAGTTTAGGTTATTTAAATAAATATAATAAAAAACAGTATATTAAAAAAAAAAGTCGCATAGATGTGAGAATTTTAGAAGAATAAAGTTCTACATTGTTTGAAATTAATAAAACATAAATGTTTATATATTAAAGTATATTTTACACTTTCAAGGAGAAAAGTGAGAAGTGTTTTTTTTTTTATAAGAATTTTTGAATTCTTCTTCTTATTTTTCGCATGGCTCTCGAGCTCCTCATGCCTATATGTAGATGTTTTACACACCTCTTATACTTTGTTCAGTATTTCATATAAACATGTTTGAGTTGCCATTTTTTCAGCAGTTCAAACTTGTAATTTTTACTTATAAAAAAAGATAAAAATTAAATTATTAATACTTTAATTACTCAGTTAACACTAACGTATGCATACTATGATGTTCACATATTAGAGCGAATAATGTGAAAGGCTTAACGATATTAGTTAGAATATATACACTAGCAGTGATTGAGAATGGCAGGAGAACATAAAACCAAAGTGAAAAATGGAGATCGTTCCCCACAATGAATATAAAACACATTAAGAAATCAATATATCAAAAATGGAACCAATTTTGAACAAGGAACTTCTGATAAATTATTTTTCAGGGCCATACTTATACAAGTGTGGCATTGCATTGCCACCGTTATTGCCTATAGACATTTACCAAGTCTCCATCTGGTCAAGGAGGCTAGGCATATGGTACATGAACAATGTTGCAAAGTTTTTGTATCTCGACTCTTTCCTTTATAATATAAAAGGAAGATATATCAAAAAGGTAGGTATAAGCCATGTAAATATTGGGAATGTGAAAATATCATTGTTGTTGATATGCATATATAGTGGAGAAGATTTATAAGTGAAGTGAACTTCTTTCATATTTGTGTTAATTAATCAAATCGAACTCAAGGTCATGGCCGTTAGGTGAAGAGGTTATTGAGATTCAACATTCTGAATGATTGGAACTTGTCTATTATGGCATGGTTATCACTAGGGTTGTGCATGCAACGAAGGAAAAGTTCACAATGGCAACAAACTAACTAAAAATTAAGAAAAAAATAAAATGGCCCATGCAGGTCTCGAACCTGCGACCTTCGCGTTTGCGACCTTGGCGTTATTAGCACCACGCTCTAACCAACTGAGCTAATAGGCCAGTTGATTTTTCGTATATTCAATATAAAATTGTTTTTTTTCTAATATTTTCCACACAAAGATACATCAATTATACCACTGGATTATCATTTTCGACGGTGTTCGTGAAGCACCTTTGTCAATGTAAACTGCCATTTCAGTAAATCAAGACATGGTAAGATGTTCTCCAACATCCATGTAAGTTCTCGAATGCATTCTTTTCTTATTACTATGTATTTATTTTATTTATGATGCTTTTGTTTTGGTCCCCCTAAGCTTTCGCAGATGGCAGAGGGAGAAAATTAACCATTATTCTTTAAATCTGCCAACAACTTGCACAAAGTAATAGAATGATACTTTAAAGAGTATTATTTAAATCAAACAAACTGGGTAGTTATAATGGTAGCTCCTACTGTTTGTTGACTCGGTTGTCTAAATAAATCTTTTTAAAACCTTCCCTTTTGCATTTACCTTATTATGTTATACTGGATTGTAATATTAAAATTATATAGCTTTTAAATATTAAACCATAAATGACTTTTCATGTAGTATGTTTGTTATTTAATTGAAACATACAACTAAATACAAATTGTGCTTTTCCATTTTTTGCGGTCCTCTTCATCCATTTTTCTACATAAACTTATATGGCGGCGAATTTATGTCTTCATTATAGAAGATAACTTTCTTGAAGGAGGAACCATAGATCTAGCATAAGCATTTGGCAAGGAAAGTAACTTCTTGGCTTTGCTCACATAAGCCCTTCTTGTGAAATTGTTGTAATCATTAGCTTCTATCTCATCCAATATCTGTCGATACAATAGCAAGGAGGCCCATACCTGCAACAACATCAACACCCTTTAGTGTTGTGAAAGTCAAATAATGGATACAATCATTAATTAGCCTTAGCCAATGGCTTGACCCTTTTTCCATTTGAGCTCAAGGGTCCATGCCGGTTTTAGAATTACCATAATCTTTCTAGGAACACGTGTATTCTTACTTTAAGCACAAAAGGGTAGCCCTCAAAAAATTGCTTACCAGCACTGAGGTGTTGAACATTAGAAAAATCTTATTCCACATTCAACATTACATTGTTATTATAATGCCAAATCAAAAGTTAGTTACAATGATGTCACTCCATTAGACGATACTATAACTCAAATGCAGACACGTAAGAGCATATTCAATAAATAACTTTTGTTGACACTGATTACAAAGCCTTGTCTGTTGGATTAAAATTCTTTAATTTAAATGTGTCACCGCGTATCAATTATTTTGACTCAAATAATCAATGTTTCATTAAGCTTCCCCAGGCCCACCCCCACTGATTCTGAAAAGGCTTTGCAAGTGTGTTCACATTAAAATTTCAAGCACAGAAAAGGTTTTATAATGATAAAAGTTGGAATTTCTTACCGGCCATCTGCTAGCTTCATTAAGCTCCGTTACTCCCTTTTCTGCCTCGTCAAAAAACGTTCTTGCCCTTTTAATTTGGTTCTTCATGAAGTTCCTCCACTTATCTGTCACCTTACCAGCAAATATGTCATCATCTGAAAGTCCTGCTTGAGCCAACTCATCTTGTGGTAGATAAACTCTTCCTCTACTAGCACTGTTCCAAATCGAGCATGTGATAAGAAGGATGGAACCAAATTCAAATGCAGGTTCTTGAAATGAGCATCAGAAAAAACCAACATGGTATTTTTATTCCATTAGAATCTCGTAAGAGTGAAACAAAACCCAGTACCTAACACTACTACTTACACACACACACATATAGAGAGAGAGATATCCTTGAACCATATTTTGATATCAATTCTACTGTTATTTTTCATTTTCAGCGCACTATGTTTTGTTTTCTCAAGCCAATCAAGCGAGACATCAAACAACCAGGAAATCCTAACAAATCAAATAGAACCATATTTAAGTATTTCGGACCTCAGACAGAATAAAGACACCTTACAACCCAAACCAAACGTGGGATGAAAGGTTATTAATGTGTTAACAATAAAATATATCCATCTATTAGTTTTCCCAAGTTCACAACAAGTGGTAACAAAAAGACTCACTGAACTAGCACATTAATAAAAAAGTACTGCAATTTATATGCATCTCAAGTTTCTTTTTTGATAAGACGATGCAATCCAGATCCTGTGTCTCAATGATGTGATATGCATTTCATAGTCTTCTGGAATCATGTTAAATATTGGCTTGAAATAATGGACAATACCACTGGTGATAATGAAAAAGTAAACCTCTCATTCTACAAGTAATTTTTTCATAAGATATCTGACAACATAAAGAAACATCAATAGCTATGAACTTACTCCTCTCCAACATCTCTGAGTATGTTGGTTAGCTGATTTGCAATTCCCAGGGCCAAGGCAGCATTGTAGACACTCTCTGTTGTGGCTTGTGAATCTAGTGAAATACCCATGATTGGAACACTCATTAAACCTACTGTCCCAGCAACATAGTAACAGTAGAGATATAGTTCATCAAAGTTTTTGTATCTCGACTTCTTAAGATCCATTCTCATTCCTTCTATCATATCTTTAAATGGCTGCAAGGACACAAATATAAGATTTGAAAAATAAGCCCTCCAACATTGAAGATGGGTATATCAAATTCATGAGCTTGTTGCTGTAACCTGTAAGTGATGAAATATAATTGAAACATTCACAAAATTGAGTTGGGGCACAAGAAGAACCTTGACAGTTAACAAGATTTTTAAAGAAAAGACAAGCAATGATTATTTTCAGTTCGGTGTGTTTTCATATTAAAAGGGTCAGGCATGGCATATTACATGTGCAAAATGCAAACCATATTAAATCATTTCCCAATTGTCTTCGGATTGAATTTTGTTATGAAATTCAATTAAGAATCGAACAGATTAGATTATAAGGAGTTTTTTTTTACAACAGTTTTATGAGGAGTTAAGAACTCTGATTTGGACAATATACAAGAAAATTTAGGACAGACTGCAGATTTTCCACTCTGTTCCCCTTAAAGATGTGATTTGCACTAATGAAAGATTCAGAGCAAGTAGTGGTCAGTCCTATCAAAGACTAATTAAAATGAAGGAAAGCTCTGAAGTGATAATAATAATAATAATAATAATAATAATAATAATAATAATAATAATAGTAATAATAATAATAATAGTAATAATAGTAATAATAGTAATAATAGTAATAATAGTAATAATAATAATAATAATAATAATAATAATAATAATATAATAATAATAATACAAAGGAAAATATGTATTATTAGAAAGTAATGAGAAGATGCAGCATTAAAAGATCCTTCAATTTCAAGCGTGTGTAAAGATTAGCGATGAATTTCCAGGCTCCAGCCAATATCTTATTTGATCAAGAAAATGGATCCCTACCTGGATATCAACAGGAAATTTGGCAACTGTGTCGGATAAAGCAGCATCAAACATGTCAAATGGACGACCTTGGAAAACTTCTTCCAATCTTGATTCCCACCTATCCAAAGCAGTTGGTGTAATTTGTGAAGCATTTGGGCCATCCACAAGTTCATCTGTTCTCCTACACCACACTGAAAAACAGGGAGAAATATAAGGCATTTGAGATCTGATCAGTTAAATTGATCTTACTTGATATAGCAGAGGCTTGCAAAACCAGCTGACAAAATATATGTAATACAGGACAATATAAAGCATAACCAGATTTTCTTCAATAATGAATCCTTAAGCATTCCCACAGCTCGCCCTTATCTTTAAAACTTTGGTTACCGAAATGGACATCAAAGATTTTGAAAGCTGGAAACATCTAACAATCTAAACATTTGATAAGAAATTAGGATAGAACCATTTTTTTCCAAATTTATCATGCAGAGGTGAAAGCTTAATAATTGATTGCTTAGTTCAGAAGTTTGTCAATTTATATTGTACAATAAGAGGATTAAGTTCTCATTTACATATTTGGTCGGATACATTTTCATCCGATGATTAAGTTTTTTTTTTTTTCATTAGAGAATGGACATTGCTACAAGTTCCTTTTTACGTCTAGAAGGAACAAAGAGTCAAAGACAGATTTTTCAATGTTGGAGGATTCATTCAAACCTCTATGAAATTGGATTAAATGTTAATTGGAAAGAAAGATTTTCAAGCCTGGAGATCCCTATGTCAAAACTGGTCCACTGGTTGTACTTGCTTTGAACATAAAGTCATAAACTACTGTACTGAAAGTCAAAAACAGATTTTATGCAAATATATATCAAGTCAATATGCGTTTTGCAGACCAAAACTTCGCTTCTTATTCATTTAATTCCTGAGTTAAATACTATTATACTAAATTAAATATGGTGTTCGTACCCTAACTGTGTAGTCAAACCATCAAGAGCATTGTAAAAGTAAAACCAATAAATTCTGTTGTTACATAACTCTCAATTCAAGAACAGCTCATGAAATGTCTTCTTAAAGTATTTGCTTCTTGTTATTACTGTAAAAGTTTTACAGTAGATTCCTTTTGCAATCCAGTTATGTTTCAATTGCTAATCAAAATGAAAAACAAAATTGTGAACATAAAATGATGAAAAGAAAATAGTCTAGAGAGAGAAAAAGATATCCTAACCAAAGGAGCACGATCACTCACCATATATTGCCCAGATAGCTCTTCGTCTTTCAGGAGTCATTAGGAGAGTACCTGAAAGACAAAATCCCATGTAAATTACACTCAAACCATGCATAAACCCAAATGTAATTTAAGTTAACATCCTCACATGAAGGAAGGATAAGAGAAAGCTAACCCAGGTAAAATGTTTTAGCATATTCTGCACAAACTTCTCCACAACGGTCATAAGCTTCATTCAACAGGCTCAAATTCCCAGGCAGAGCAATATCTGGTTTTGCATCAATTTCACCCGGAGAGCTCAGCTTCCTCTTAACCAAAGATGCCTGCTTCAGCACTACATCATAGACCTTCTGCTCTGATGAAACAGCCACTTCTCCTGCCGCTGGGTTTGCAAGCACGTTCGCTAGGAGAGAGAAGTTGCCAGCACTTTCTAAGCCAGACTGACCAACACATGCATACTTCATATCTGTACTCAAAGTGCAAAATCTGCAACTCTTCTTCCTATCCTTCTTCGCTCTAATTGACCCAAAATCATGGGACATGACCTTCGAAGAATGTAAGAACTTTACATGTCGGTTAGAATCAAGTAACCCGGTGGAATGGGAAGCCTCTATACCAGGGGAGGAAACAACCCATAGTAATGTCACAGACATGACTAAACTCTTGTCTTGTGTTCTCAAAACCTGCTTGTTAAGCTTATTCCTTTCCTTCTCGACTTATCAATCCTTCAGAGAACCACTACACTGAAACCACTGGTAAATCACGCAAAACAATTGCCTTGAATCCAATAAAAGCCTCGGAAACAACACTTCCAACAACTGCAAACCTTGTTGTACCAAAGCCACCTGCGATTAAACCAAAACAAGCACATATTCAGCATTACAACAACATCAACCCAAAATGAAAGGAAAACAAAAACAAAAGAACCATTTTCACCAAACACAACAAGAACTCACCTAATGGAGATCAAAATCCAAACAACAACACCCCCCTCTAAAGAGTTGCAATTGTCACAAGCAGTGTTTGCCACGAGTTTTCATTCATTCAAACAGCAAGCAGCACTAAACTATGAAGTTGGCTAAACCTATCTAACTACGTGCTGTACCTTCCCTTCCCTAACCTACACGAAAATCCAAGCACTAAGATGAATAGCATGTGCGAAATAGACAAAATAAAAAATAAAAAAAGATGCACACAACACACACCTGTTGGGTGGTGGTTCTGTGACCCACTCAGAAGAGGCTGCATACGGTTGAAGGCATCAACATCATGGGAGGAGCAAAAACTAACATCGGCCACTAAGAGCAATTTCTTTCCCTCACAACGTGACCCACCAAACTCTCTCCACTCTTCCACACTTTTTTATTTAAAAGAATGTCACCTTTTTGTATCGCTAATTCTCTCTACATCAGTTGCGGCATTTGAGGCCACTCTCTTGACACACCATTGTCTGCTTCTCAGTTCACACGCTTTGGACCCTTCTGTATTGTCCAAGTTCAACGTTAGCTGCTCCCAAATGGATCGGGTTGGCTTCGGGTTTACCCATAACCGTATCCGAATTTTTCTTTCTCTTCGCTTTTACGTAATGTAAGTGTCTTTGGATTTCCGTCTTTTTTGAGGTTTTTTATTATTATAGATTATAGGTAATAAATTTTTTTGAATTTTTCTCCTCTAAAGGTTTTTATTTAATGAATTATATTTCCCACATGAGATACTTGATTTATTAAGTGATTTTTACTATTAAATGCATTAATTACTTTTAAATTTTATCATAAATTTAAGTATATTATACCAACTTGTATTTTATTGTAATCAAATATATTTAATGAGTTCTTTATTTTTATTATCTATGTTTCAAAATTTGTATTAAATTTGATTAGTATTATTATAGTAATACAAATTATTATAGTCATGAACAAGTAGAACCTCTCAAATAAAAATGTGTGATCACAAACTTATAAAATGTATGTTTGATAAGAACGAAAAGAAAAGTTTATACTTTATGTTCCAAACTTAGATTATTTATTTTGAAATCCAATAGTTTTTCTCTTATCAGAACAATTATATATATATATATATAATATTATATGTTAATGATTTTCAATAATAATGAAGAAAAAAAACTAGTTTCCAATTTTATTAGTTGAAAACATTTATGTTTTTCTAAACCACCTATAATATCATTTTAAATATTAATATGCATTGTATCATGAAAGAATTGGTAGTTATATAAGGTATCAACTCCTAAATTTTAACTTTGTTATTATTGTAACTTACGAATATAAAAAAAATATCTACAATAATAATCAATTTCTTAAATATGATGACAAAAAATTGATTTTTTATGGTGTAGAAATACATATGAAAAATTAGAGAAACTTTATTTTATGTTTTAGAATATTAAACATGATATTAAAAATATAATAACCGGTTTAAATTTTTTAAAAAATTAAATGAGAATTTTCCCGAAAAATATACTAGTTTGAATTTAAATACTTTTATTTTTTAAAATAAAATTGATTTAATTAAATTATTTTTCTGGTAAATTAGATGGTAGATATAGTGGTTAAAAGTTGGTTTTTAGATAAGCATGGAACCGATCCGAACCCGGTAAAGTGGATCGGACAGAACCCAAAAATGACGGCAGGAACGTAAAGTGCGCATGAAAAAGCGAAATCCAGCGAGGACAACACGTGGATGAAATCACCCAATCACCAAAGGATAACCTTATCGTATGCCACAAAGCGGTGCATAAACGGTGAGGTTGGGACTGCCACGTGGCGCTCTCTCATTGATCCCAGCAACTGATACACTGATTACGCCCGATCACGGGATTGGTTCGGCGTAAGAATGTGGGGCCCACGGGTTGCCAATTATAGAGTTATTTGCTCTTTTCTATTCCTAAACCGGGCTCAGTGGGGCCCAGTGGGCCTTTGTCGGTTCGCATGGTACCCTACATAGTGGAATATGAATTTCGCAAAATAAAAGCCAACACCACACGTTCACTCCAATTCTATTTGACACGTAGTCAATTTGCACCTTGTGTGGATCTCATCGCATTGGATTATTATGATTACTATCATTATTTCACTATTTCACAGAGGACGCACTTTTCAGTTTACTGGTCTTGATGCAGATCCCATGACACCTGGCACTGGTGTTAACGGTTAATACTTAGTAATAACTACTACTTCTCTGGTAGGGTCAAATTAAACTTTAAACAACTTGGTATTTTAAGAATATTCGAATTAATTAATCAACCTAATCTTGAACCATAGTGGGAAGCGTTTTTGACTCAGATCTCATTATCCATTATTTAATGGAAAAGGGTAGGTAAAAGCTTAGAGTGTTCAGCATTCAGATTTGGGATTAGTCATTACTAATTAAATAGTCAAAACTGAGGAGGAATCCAAACTTGTATTTAGAGAGACAGAGAGAGAGAGAGAGGATAAAAAGGTGTGTCAAAACATGTCTACATCTGAAGAAAGAGATGCTGTTGGGGTACGTATGGTAGGTTAGCATGGTTATATTTTTGATATCTCCCTAATTGGTTGGTCTTTTTGTCACTTCCAAATACTATATGTAGATTAGATTGGCATCTCCTTTTCATGGGAAGTGTGCTACACATGAGACCCGTCAAACTAGTTTATAAACAAGTCAATAATTACAAATAAAAAAAACTAATCAATAATTAGTAAATTATCAAAGTGATTTATCGAACATAATTATGAATGATAGATTAATCTTTAAAATAAGTTATATTAAATCAATTTAATATAATTTATAGATTTACGTAGTGATTACATACTTTATATTTATACATTATAAAAATAATTTATTTTAAAAAAATATGCTTATTTTTTCTGCTGATGATAATTTTTTGAGTCAATAACAATTATATATTATTGTAAAGATTGATCTTTGGTTAAATGCCATAAAAATACGATAAAAAAATATATTATTTTAATTATAACACTATTAGTTTAGTTTTTAAATTTGATTTAACGCAATCCAGTGTAAAACCATTTTGAATTGGATTAATTTTAATTTTGTAAAGAATAAATAAGTCTTAAAATTCACAATAGAAATATAATAAAAAGATATAACTCAATTTGACAAAAATAGATTATTTGGTAAGAGAGTTTATTTTATGAACTTATAATTTATTTTCATAAATTAATTAAAGTAATTTATATCTTACAAACTCTAATAGTCTTTTATTCTCTTTCTCTTTTTTTTTATCATCATTATTTTACTTGTAATATTTTTTTATCCTTTTAATTTACATTTCATTATACTTACATCTTATTCTCTTATTAACATTATCAAATAAAATACATATATCATTTTATATTAATCAGCTAACGTATAAGTTAATATTAGCAAATTTTTCAATTCAATTAATTAATGTATAAGCTTATAGTTTTTTTTAGCTTTTAACTTATAATTTGTAAGTTTTTAACTAACTTATAAGTTTTTTTTTTTTTTGGAAAAAAAAACTCAATGATGTCTTACTTATTGTTTACCTTAATTCCATTCCATAAGTAAATATATAGCTTGGTTCCATTTATTTCACTTGTATTTTATTTATGTTTATATGGATTATTAGTTTTATTGTATAATAATTCCTTTTTTCCATTTAGACCATTATAGAATTATATCATGTTTGGTCCTATTTGTATCAAATTTTAGCATTTTGATATTTGTTTGTTAGCATTTGTTTTAATGTGTAAAACATTCAATAGAGAGGAGGTGAGCAATGGAATCAATTCTGGCAATGAAGTAAGTGTTACACACTAGCTAGGATACGTTTAGGATGATTCAATTATGCCTAGCTAGCCTGTAAATGCTAGAAACCTAACTTGTCTACACCAAGCCAACATATAGGACAGTTGATTCTGCCTAACATGCGTCTGCATACAGTAGATGCCTGTATATCCTACAACACCTAAGTACACATTCTAAACTTGTCAATATTTGTCATTGCCTAATTTTTGGGGGGAATCTTTTGGCTTTTTAATAATTACAAGAAAATCCTCCTATTCTCTCTATTTTGGAGTTGAATTTTATAATAATTATCTAAAAAGTCATGTAAATCATAATTTTTAATTGATTAACTGTGTAAAAAAAAAATTACGTTGACAATATATTACCATTAAATCCTTTTAAATATTATTATTATTCATTTTATACTTTTTTTAAATCTTTAATATGTAGAAACAAATAAATACAAATTCATTAAAAAAAATGTATACATATAAATAATAATAATAAATTAAAGGAATAAATATTTGAAAAGTTAATAAACTTTTACTCTCGTTTAAATTATTATAAATATCGTAATTTATCACATAATTTGCTATATATTTTTATATATTATTAATTTAAAATTTAACATGTATCCATTACTTAACTTTATTATTATTTTTTATCAAGATAAATTAATAATTAATTATGGATAAAAGTTATTTTCATCCTTATAAAATTTTTAAAGTTCACTTTCGGTTCTTCAAACTTTTTTATGTACTAAATTAGTCCTTTTAAAATTATAGCATGTAAAAAAAATATTATTCTTCCTAAAATTTGTATAAGTATAGTAATTTGTAACATAATTTTTTATATATATTTTTATTTATTTTGAATTTAAATTTTAACAATTATTCATCACTTAACTTTATTGTTTTTTTTTATAAAGGTAACTTAGTAATTAACTTATAGATAAAAGTTATTTTTAATCCTTCAATATTATTTCAAAGTTACTTTAAATTTTTTAAACTTTTAAAATTAAATTAGTTTCTATAAAATTATAATATATTAAGGCTAACCTTTTTTATAATTCTATTAGTGGCGATGTGTTATATGACAAACAAAAATACATGTAATGAATAAAAATTTATTTTTCTTCCTTCTAAAAATTATATACTAGTAAATAAGATAATATATATATATATATATAATTATATATACTGTCCAACTCAAAAAAGGAATTAACATATCCTAGTATTACATTGACTAATTTAGTGCAAGAAAATAGTGGAGGACCAAAAGTAAATTTTAAAAGTTTGAATAGGACTACATAAATTTTTTCTATTTGTCATTTTCATTTGTCACATGTTAATAATGGAGTTAAAAAAAATATCAGATTCAATATATTATAATTTTATTGGAATTAATCTAATATATAAAAGATTAAAATTCTAAAAATGAATTTAAAATTTTTAGATAGCATTTGATTAGAGGAAAGAAAAAATATTTTTAAAATCTTTTTTTGTTTGATTCAATTTATAGGAAGGGAGTGGAAAAAGAATTCCTCATAATCCAAGTTTGACTTCCATTCAATATTAGAGGCATTTGGAGGAGAGGGGAGAGATTTTAAAATATTTTTAGTATAATATTAAAAAATATTTTTATTTATGTTATCAAATTTTAAATTATAAAAATAAAAAAATAGATTGCTTTTTAAAATCTCT